GATGCGGTTGCGCTCTCGCCGGGTATACAGGTGGTGAGCATGGTAGCCCAATCATCATCCTCATCCTTCTGAATCCTGTTGGGGTGTTGTTGTTGTGGTTGGGGAAGAATCCTTGTCAAGTGTATGTTTTGAATCAGGGGGTGTGATGGCACGCTTAGGTGCGGGTCCGGCCGTGCCATCCCCCCGTCTTCGGTCTTCTAGACTCTGTTTTGACACCAGTCCCAGCTGGCGAGTTGGAAAGACAGAGTGCGGTGGATGCAGTGCAAGTCTAATATGACTGTAAACTAGTGCCAACGCAAGTCACCGTGCCTGCTGCACCTGGCTGTGTAGCACGCGGTGGACATCGTCGGGAACCACAGTTGAACTGATAGGTAGGTGAAGTAAGGGTCGTGATAATTAGGGTCCACAGAAATGTGTTCCCTCTTCTGCTCGTATGCCAGCGACCAATCCGAGTCCGAAAGACTAGCAGCGGCCTTGAAGAAGGAGACACGATCGCGGGGACAAGAGCATTATTAGCCTGACTTTTCGGATTCCTACTCGAATCCACCATCAGAGACAAAAAAGCAGAAACGGGTGGTTGTTGCACAAGGGGCTGCGGTATTTATAGGATGCAGTAACAATGCTACCGCATACCTATGAACATTCACGGCTCCTCCCTTCATCCGGGATTGTCACACTTGGTATGATCATTGCTTGATGGCCGGCATTCGAGTCGATAATTGCCGCAATTTCATCAAGACTATCCTGGGACTCGTCTCTTCGCTTCTATTGACGAGCAGTAGCATTTGTCACGGTGGCGGACTCAACGCAAAGTCCCCTTCTGGCCTGCGCAGCACTCATGTGAGGTGATAGCCTAAGACAGCCCAGCGGTTAGCGTACAGTAACTGGGCTAACCCGTGAAATTTCGACCGAAATTCCGAAAAGCGTTTTCGTTTCGAAAGGACTTATTAAGCAAGGTTGTAAAATTAATCATCCTGCAACATAATTCTATAATAATTCGGTTAAAACAGGATGCTGGCTTTCGAACGAAATTCTTGCCGGTTGCATGCGGAAACTTTGCTCTCTAAAAGATGACTACCTAATTAGCGTACATTTTTTCTCATTGATTTTCGATGCCATTAAAAATTCAATTATATTTCGTGAAAAACACGCGTCAAAGCATTCATTCTTTCACTTCTTTGGTACCTAATTACGTCTCCTTCTAAGGAAGGGTACAACTCGGTTTTATCGTGAGACTTTTTAATACCGTGAAACGGGCGTTGATAAAACGTCATGTCTCTGTCTTTGCTAGTGTGGCTTGTAAAATTAACAATAATGCCCAAATCCAATGCTAAGTTTTATGAACCCTATATGGTCTGCTCTTAATACCGTACAAAAATGTATGGTATTCCGTACGCAAAAAATATACGGCTTGTAGTTTGGAAACCCTGGATGCAAGTATAACGGCAGAGCGGGTTCAAAATCATTCGGGAATTGAAAAAGTTCTTGAAAACGGAGTTATACTCTCCCATCGAGTACGAAATTGGAAGAAAACTTTATTTTCTACCGAATGGGCAAGAGACTGAATATTTTTATGCATGTTTTCCATGAAATATAATGGAATTTTTAAGAGCATCGAATATCAATTAGAAAAGTGTCATCTAGTTGAGTAGTCATTTTTTGCAGAGTGTAGCTTTTGCATGCAGTCAGAAAGAAGTTCATTCAAAGCCGGCATCCTGAGGTAACTGGATTTTTATAGAATTATGCTGTGTGATGGTTATCCTTACAACCTCAACTTATTAATCTTTGTGAAACGAAAACGCATTTGTTGGTATTTCGTGAGTTAGCCCACCTTCTGTATGTTATGACATGATATGTGCCTTGTTATGGACTAGGTCAAGAGCCGCGCAGACCGTCTGGATGCAGTCTCTCGACCAGCTTCGTAATGCAAGGGGAGGGAGGGGGATTTTACACGGAAGGGTGATTGTCGTTGGGAGAAACCAGAGGAACAGCAGCCTTGGCTCTCGATCGATAATATTCTCCTCCCTGATTGGCTCTAGGAAATAGTCCGGCCGATATTTCCTTAATTCGAGTAATCGGGATGGCAGCTTAACCGGTCCGAATCGTTTAGCCCTATGCAATTAGAGCACTCGAATCCCGCCGTGCTAGTACAGTAAGCTAGTCCTTGCGGAGATTCACCCGATGTTGAAGAAGGAGACACGATCGTCGGGACAAGAGCTTTATTAGCCTGACGTTTCGGATTCCTACTCGAATCCATCATCAGAGACAAAAAAGCAGAAACGGGCGGTTGTTGCACAAGGGGTTGCGGTATTTATAGAATGCAGTAGCCATGCTACCACATACCTATGAACATTCACGGCTCCCCCCTTCATCCGGGATCGTCGCGCTTGGTGTGATCACTGCTTGATGGCCGACATTCGAGTCGATAATTGCTGCAATTTCATCACGTGCGTTGGATGTTGGTGTGATGATTGCTCGACCATCTGACGCACCGACCCCGGTGTTGAGAAAAGTGTTCATCTCTGCGCTCCCCACATGGCTTGTTACTCCGCCTAGGCGAAATTTTGGCACGCAGTATGGAGTGGGAAGCTCGTTGCACTTGTTGATGGACTGCGGGTCAGTAAACCATGATTCCAGTAGCTCCCGGCTCACGCGGTTGTCACCTCTTGCGGCAACTCCATGCCCAAGTGGTGCGAGAAGGCGGCCGACAGCTTCCCAAACGTTCTTGACATACGGAAGTGCCCGCCAAGATTTGGTGTCCGTGCGGTTAGGCCTTTCGTCACTTTTGCGTATGCACCGGTTGACGAAGTTGCGCGAGTATCCACTGGCTTTGAAGACCCGTCGGAGGTATTGTAGTTCGGCAATTTTGTCTTCCGGTTCACTGCAGTGGGTTTCGACACGCCGATAAAGCGTGAATGTTCATAGGTATGCGGTAGCATTGCTACTGCATCCTATAAATACCGCAGCCCATTGTGCAGCAACCACCCGTTTCTGCTTTTTTGTCTCTGATGATGGATTCGAGTAGGAATCCGAAACATCAGGCTAATAAAGCTCTTGTCCCGGCGATCGTGTCTCCTTCTTCAAGACTACTTCCTGGGACTCGTCTCTTCGTTTCTATTCACCCGATGGTCAACTGACTACATGCATGCCTGTCAGGCCTACAGTGTCCCTTCACAGTGCCCACGATTCTGACGCATCGCAGGTTTTGTACGGGTCAAGTAGTTGGAATATAGTCCGGACTGACTCATTTAGTCTTCTAGAGGTGAGGATTTATTACCCGGATAACGTCTAACTGAGGAGCTGGTCCTTCGTTTCCTGGTGCTTCCGTATGCCAGGAGGAACATTAAAACCGCCAAGAACATCTGAATTTACGTAGGAGCTTGAATGAAAACGGAATTGCTGGGCTGGCCTCCAAGTTTTAGGATGTCCTGGACGCTGTAATGACGCATGCGTGTCTCTCAGTTAAAACACCTCTCTCTCTCAATCGGGCTTAACGACTCTCTTTAATATATGCTTTTTAAGAAAAAATCAATAGTTAAGGGAAAAACCGCACAAATGCTTGTCGTAACACTTGGGTGCAGTTAGTGACTGATTTGTTGAAATTCCGAAATGTGTTTTCGATTAGGAAGGATTACTTGGGTGGGGTTGTAATATTAATTATCACGCCCCATAATCCTACAATATTTCGGACTCGCCAGGATGGTGACTTTCGAATGGACTTCTTTCCGACCTTCTGTAAAACATATCTCGGCGAAAAATGACTACTTGAACAGTATGGATTTTTTCATACTGATTTTCGATGGCATTATAGATTCAAATATATTTTCTAGAAAACATGCACAAGCATTTACCTTATTCAGGCGTTTGGCTTGCATCAGCCTCTGTTATTCTGAAACATATGCCAGCGTTAGCTTATATTGGTCAGACAGCTGAAAAGTCGAACACTTTCTGATGACTAGTACTCTTCCCAGTATTTTCTTCTGACTTTTGGGGCTGGGTCGACCTGAATTTACTCATATACCACACTAAATGGTTTTGAAGAAGACACGATCGCCGGGCTAATAGCTTTATTCGCCTGACGTTTCGGGTTCCTGCTCGAATCCATCCGAAACGTCAGGCGAGTAAAGCTCTTGTCCCGGCGATCGTGTCTTCTTTTTCAAGACTGCTTCCTGAAACTCGTCTCTGCGCTTCTATTGGCACTGAATGGTTTGTCTATTAAATGCTACTGGACGATAGGGAGGAAACTATCTGCCGAAAGTCTTCCATTTAACCTCAAAATTAAGATGGCACTCGTTCCACCGAGGTCTCCTTGTCGAATATGTACACCTCCAAATTTTGGACAGTATTGATAGTTCAGCTGTCGCACCCGCCGATTTCCACCGTATGCTCCACAGCTAGGTGAGCGGAGGCACTGTGACCGGTGAATTAGTCTTTAGTGATAGCGGACTTGCATAGCATCTACCGCACACTCTCCTCCCCATTTGGCCCTGAGTCAAGGCAAGACCGGAGGCGGAGGAGGGCACAGGTGGCTGGCGCGGTCAGGCCCGCACCATGGCGCTCCAACCCACACGCCCTAGTCCACAACAAACACTCGACCAGGAACATCTGACCAAAATGTTGATCAACAACAACACCAATATAAAGTACATGGATGACTGGGCAGCCATGCACACGACCTGTATAGCCAGCGGGAGCGCAAGCGCGTCTGTCGCCAGAGAACCAGGGACCGAAGAACTACCAGCGCATATCAGGCCGCGAGGGCCATGGCATACTGACCATGGCATAGCAGACGCTCACAATCATTGGGGCTTCGGCAGTGTTAGTGATAACGCGAGTGACTATGGCAGTTACTCGCCACCCAATCCCGAGTCCTAAAGACCTAAGTTTTGAACCGTGAGATCGCTGGTCCTCGAGTTCAGCGTCTTCCTAGCAGAGCCAGGATCCATCGACGGCCAAGATGGAGTGGGCGCAGCTTAGTCGCCAAAAAACCACGGTCTAGTCTACTTTTGCGAGGAGAAGAGAAGGGGGAGGAGAAGGAGGAGGGCGAGGACGAGGAGGGCGAGGACGAGGATGAGGAGGAGGAGGAGGAGGAGGAGGAGGAGTGTGTCCTTTATGCATGTCTGATGGCGACCAGAGCCCTCGATGTGCGATCGGCTCAAGGCCTGTGCGGATGTGAATAATTAAGTGTCAGGCGAGAGCCAGGCAGTGTTAACGTGGTGGGTTGATGAAATAGTTGCATAATTTGTCGACGGCTGTGATTGGCTACCTTCGAGACTGAGCGGACAGAATTCGCACCTTTTCGAAAGCCGCGATCACATGATTAATAGCGCGCCGTATGTGCCAGAGTAGGAGGCGGAGGACAAGCTCACATGCGTTTGGAGATATCATGTACCCACCCTCCATCGGTTCTGGCGGACTGCTTGAATAGAAGGAGACACGATCGCTGGAACAAGTGCTTTATTAGCCTGACGTTTCGGGCTCTCACTCGAATCCATCATCAGAGACAGAGTCGGTTGAGAGTAATGGATGGCCCAGGTGTTGCAATATTTATAAGATGCAGTTGCTAGACCGCCACACGCCTATCACAGTTGGCAGCTACCGACTGCTTGAAGTCACGTGGGAGGTAGCGTGCACCAACCAGGACCGCTAGCGTTTCGTTTGACCCAGGAGATGGATTTTCTTAAAAGAAAAGGAGTCCTCAATGGCCTCTGTCGTTCATAGCCTATTGGTACTGCTATTAAGTGGTCTTTGTAAAGAAGTTCAGCGTTAAGTTTCCCCTCACAGACAGCAATATTACCAGCGGCCACCACCTCAGTGATTGAGGCACAGATGCTCACTTTTAATCCTCTGAAGACCGCTGCATAAAAAATTTCCCGTCCGCTGATTTGGGCGCCAGCAGAATGTTTGGCACATCTACATCAGGCAACTTTAAGTAGCCTGTATGCTGCCTCAACATTTAAGTGCCCAGAAGTTTCCTGCGGCTTTCGCCATAACCGTCGCCTTGCTCGGAATGTCTTTCAGACGTCGTAAATCCCTCCGCATTTCTATCGCTGATGCATGCAGAAAATTGCAAGACAGAATATTGAGGACGGTGGGTGAATTTTCGTTATCCAAATTGCCTGTTTACAACTTTTTTCTCCATATGTGTCTTTTACGGCAGTACTGGGCCGACTCAGTTTTCGAACTCGCTGTCGAGACTTTCCAGAGATCTACCCTACCTTGGGTTTTGGCAGTGTGGTCTTTAAGCTTCCCATCATAATAAATCTGTCAACTCTTCTTTCGCCAGGATTGACTCACTTGTGAGCCTGAAGTGATCTCGGCAGTTAAATGAGTTCTGTGATTTTTAATGAAATCTACCGAGACAATGTCGGGCAAGGACGCAGTACGCGACCCCAGTCAGGGAACAAATTCCGGGTCATCGTCTAGTACGGGTTTTATGGGAGGGGCATTTTGTCCGTTATTTCCCCTTGTCTTTGTCGGTAATATCATTCTGCCTATATATCATGCGCAGCTGCGCGGCTGCTGGTTGGGCTCGAGAGAGAGCCCTTATGGGGCACAACGGAACGAGTGAGTTCCGTGTGAACGATCGGTGAGCGCCCCCTAACATTGTCCGTTATTTGTTGCCTACTAGTTTGGGCGTTTTTGGTAACCCTTAACGTATATTCCTCCTCTTGTGGCTGAGATCTATCTGATAGCTACACTGCCTGACCGATCTGGCCGAAATTCTGAAATGCCCTTTCGGCTAGGAAGGATCAATAAGGTGGCGTTGTGATATTAATTAT